TGAACTACTCTTTCGGTCAGAATAAGGGATTAGAGAAAATATTAAGTTGCAGAAAGACTTTCTTGTGCCCATAAACTTGTAGATTATGACCTAAATCAACTGTAAAATGATAGACAATTCTTTTGATGAGTTTGATGAGAGAAAGGAAAAAAAGAGAGAGGAGAGGGGGAGGGGAGGGGGAGGGGGAGGGAGAGAGAGAGAGAGAGAGAGAGAGAGAGAGAGAGAGAGAGAGAGAGGAGATAGTGCATCTATTTGAATGAGAATGGTCCTGCTAGGCTCATATGTTTGAATATTTGGTCCCCGGCTGGTAGAACTGTTTGGGAAGGATCAGTAGGTGTGGCCTTCATTGGAGGAAGTGTGTCACTGGGAAAGGGAGGGGCTTAACATTTCAGAGGCCCACAGCCATCCCCAGTAAGCTATATCTTTTTCCTATTTGTGAGTCAGGGTATAAGCTCTTTCTCAGCTGCCGGTTCAGTGCTGTGCCTGCCTACTCCCATGTTCCCCAGGATGGTCATGGATTCTAACCCTCCAGAACGATGAACCCCAAATTAAACTCTTCTTTTTATAAGTTATGTTGGTCATGGTGTCTTATTGAACCAAAATAAAAGTCATTAAGCTAGATGGGAAGCCTTTTTTCCCCTCTCGTGTGAGGGACAGAATATGCTTGGAGCATTCATGAAGGGGGGTTGGTGGAGCAGGAAGGCTGAGGTTGCCTTAGGAAGGAGGATGAGTGAGATAATGAGATTCCTGAGGTGAAGATAGGACCTGGTGTCTGCAGAATGCTTTAAGTCCAGTTAGCGAGTTCCTACCCAGGTGACTGAAATATGGATCTATATGTGTATATATACTAGTATATTGTGTACACACATACACATACTTTTTTGTAAAGTAGAAACAAAGGTCATCCAACAAGCTGCTAGTGTCGATGAGATGCTTGAGTGTGCACTGAAAGCTCACAAATGCAGGCAGAAAGGTGAGCTGACAAGGGAAAACGTTCATAACCTGGGCCAGGTAGAAGGTCCCAGGAATGGTTACAGAGTCTAGGTGCATAGGGTATTCTTATTCAAGGGAATTCTAGATGGCTCAAACTCTGCTCTGGAGAAGGAATGAAGACTAAGGTTGACTGAGGCCATTAGCCCAAGAATTAAGATCCTTTCAGAAAAGTAACTGCTTGGAATGGCTCCATACATTAAAAAATAAAACAACAATGGAACACATACTTTTCATAGCTGTTCTCCACACTAAACATAGCCTCTCTTTTAAATTTATAGTATTTACTTTTCATTCTTTTGATAGCTGTCTACCTTGCTTGCTCCTACCATCTTCTACAAATGAGAGAGGTGGTATAGCATGGTGGTTAGAAGGACTTCTGGCAAAATATATTAGATATTTATCTTACATTTGGTGCTTGCTGGCTTCCTGACCTTGGACAAATCACACCACACCTCTGCACCTCAGATTTCTAATCTGCGATCCAGAATAAAGCAAAACAGTACTCTGTTGAGGCTTGTTTTTTTGATATGTATTGCAGTGCTAAATATTGGCCCCCAAGGTCTGGTTGCCTTTAGGGACCAGGAGATCCTCACATACACCAAGTTTTGCTATGCAACCTTACTCCTTAATTTAAAACTATTGGTTGGATAAAGATTCCGATAGTCTATAGCTGGGCCGAAGAGAGGTAGGCAGAGTTTTGGTTCCCTGGCTTGGGGTCTGAGGCAGGACCACGTGAGGAGAGGAGGGACATGGAATTGAGGAAGACACCATGGAGTAAAGGATCATGAAAATTGGCTATGAGGGCTGGCCAAGTCGGGTAAGAGCACCCCAGGCAGCCAACATAGAAAGTCATATCTCAGGGCTACGTACAGGGAAGTAGACAAAATAGACAGGGGATTGCTATCTGCTCAGGTTTAGTGCTGTTTAAGGTTTATTATAAACATAAAAGTTTAGTGTCTTTTATCTGGGAACTAAATAATCTAAGGCGGGGTAGAAACCTCCAATTTATTGATGTTAAATATTTACCACAACAATTCCCTATTCCCAAGGTTGCTATGAAAGCTAAGTAGGCCAATTTCCATAGCTACTGAGTGGTAACAACTGTTACTGATGCAACCCTAATGAAGTAAACTAGACTCAGATAAATGACAATGGGTTACATGATGCCCTTTGTACACCATGTACTACTTAATGCTTCTCAGTGTTGTGTACTTTCTTTTCCCTTGTTGGCTAGGTTGTATAATTTCATGTTAGTGGTAAACATGAGGAAGGCTAACTTTTAGCTTTATTGAAAGTCATTGCATCTCAATCTTTAAGTATTTATGGGGGCAGACTGGTGACCAGCCTTTGTGAACATATCTTTGCTTCCAAGTTTCCTTGACACTCTTCTGAAAAGGCTTTCCTCCCCTCCCCTCCCATCCCCTCCTTTCCCTTCCCCTTAAGGAGTCCTGACTGTGGATGGTTCTTATAAAGCACAAGGCCCTCACTGAGGGCCTTCCAATCATGCCTTCTGCAGGCAGCCTCTGTGATTTCCACCTGCTTCAGCACCAAGAAAACTGTCCTCAGATAAAGTAGAAGCAAAGTGATCCATGAGGAGGAGGGGGAGGAGCATGGTGCCACCACTTCTCACCCTCATTTCCTGCCATCACACAGAGAAGGGAAGGGCCACAAACCTAAACAGACTGCAGGGCAGATCCCACTTCAATCATTTAATAGTCATACAGATGAAAATGAAAAATCACCATGCACACGCGCACACACATGCGCACGTACGCACACGCACGATCCCACGGACATACGCATGCACACATGCACACCTGCACACATGCACATACGTAGTTCATCAATAATCAGGGACTTTTTGTTTTTCCTCTTTTATGGCTAGCTACGATTCTGAGAACCACTCCCAGAATGGTTTCTAGAATGGTCTCTGTCATGATCATCTCCTTTCTCTGACAACGTAGAGGGCAACTCCTCTTCTTCCGCAAAGCCTCTCAAACCATCACCCCGTCACTTCCAATCTGTTAGATTTCACCCCCGTACATCCCTCTGGTTTATTCCACGCCGTGCCTAGTCTTTGATTCCATCCCTCAGTTCTTCGCAGGTGATCCCCACTTTGTAACACAACTGCTCCTTCCTCTAATCGCATAATCTTTCTACAAAATAAGAGTCCCTGCGCTATAAATTTCACAATGGCAAGACTGATTTATCCTCAAATCCCAGATCTGGTTGCATTAAGCCTGTAACCTTATGACAATAGGCTTTAGAAAGCAGAGATTTTTTCCCCCTGTCACCTTTGCGCTACATTGATTGTAGTAATAACATACCCCGGTAACTTACAAACTTACAGGAAGTAATTAAAAATAAAACATCTTTACTCATCAAGACAGGAATCATATATTTCCATTTTTTGATTACAAAACAGTGTTGTACACTCACCTGTCACACAGAGACATAAGAATGAACATCTTAAGTGCTTTACATTTACATAATGCAGGCTAGTTCACAGTGGAATCTTCACATAACCACATAACCGATGCATCTTCATACTTTGTAAAGTGCTTGTTCAGCTAAAGCTGTGGAATACTGGATGAAAGAGAAGCAGAGTTAGGGAAGGTAAGAAAGTCCAAAGTGACATTCAGTGTGAGAAACTTCACATATACAAACCTTGAATTGTGCTTCTAAGTTATTGTAAAAAATTTTTTGCAAGTTTCTGAAAATATTCAGTTGGCTTGAGGTATGTCTCTAACCTTGTGCCAATGGACTTTCATCCCACCTTTTAACCCCATACCAATTATCTTTCTAATGACGACTATAATATTCTATACATAGCCATACCTGTGAAGCAGCAATCTGCTACCAAAAAATACTCAAACCTCTGAAGAGAAGATCCTCTCAGGCTGTTCTATGGCTATTCCAAGAATGTGGTCATACTTTTCAAACTACTTTTAGAATTCCATTTTGGAATCATATTTGGCAGTTAAAGGCTAAATGAGAAAGCCAGTACTATATGTATAACATGTATGTATAATACATATGCCTACATACATATTTAGCATCATTAAGTATATTCAAAGAATTTGATTTCAAATTACAGTTTCGGCTCTATAAAAAAAAGTTACCCCAATAGAGAAGGATTTTTCTGTATGAAAGTTATCATTATCATTATCGTTATTATTTTTATTTTAATGAAAATATTTGGAGTGGCAAAAATGCAGGCTATCAAACAGGAAGAGTTTAGAGGAAGGACACAGCCAGGGTTTTCTGAGACAGATAATTCGGGGTCTAAAATGGGCTTAGAAGAAACACTGGTTTTTATGTATAATATTAGATTTCTGTTTAAACAACCACAATATGTTCACTTTGTCCTTCGGACAGCTGGATTATATCTAGGAATAAACGACCTTTACAAAACCAGAAGTGGTTTAAAATAAACTCTAAATTTAAAAACTTGCACAAAAATTCTGGGAGGGAGAGCGCATCAATCTGGCTAATGATGTTTCTGCTCTAAGCCCCCAGAGCAGGTCAGTCGTGCAGCCTCTAGAATTTGAAGTTTTGCTGAGTGCTGGTGCAAGTACAGGGGCCTTCAAACGTACCGGAGGGGCTTAGGTCATTAAAAACAAACAAAAGCAAACACACAAAGAAGAAACAGAATTTGAATACAACTGTTAAGTTCAGGTCTATGATATATTTTGTTTTGTCTCACAGTGTGATTCCTGTAACATGAGCTCTTTAACAGTGAATTTCTCTTCTGTTGCTCTTTAAGCACTTATACCTTACAATGCTTGGTTGTGTGGTTTAAGATTGTTTTTGATTTTTTTGCATTTCACATTCCCTTGATTACTTTTGAAGAAAGAGAATGTTCTTTTACATCTTTTATGTTTGAGAATGAAGTGATAACTCGCCCACTCTTGTCGTTTTAAAATAAACGATTCTCCCCGGATTCCCACATCAGTCAATGAGAGGGGTGGAAAATTGCTATTACTAGGTGTCCACCCCAACCCTTCTTAGATGCTACTGTCCCCGGTTTCAGATTTGTGCTGTTTGCCGACTGCCATAACTGAGTCTGGTGGACCCTCACGGAAGAAGAGTACAACTGGGTTTTTTCGAGCCCACATGACCACTTCCCCTCCTGACCCACTAGCTGGATTGGAAGAAGGCATCCTGCTACAAGCCCCAAGCCTGTTGGCACAGCCATTTCGAAGGCGATTGCGACTTCTGGCCTGAAAACCTAGGCCTTGGCTAGGCAAAAAAGCATCCATGTTTCTAGTCCTGTACCCCTCTTCGCGGTTGCGTCCTAGGAGCATGGAAATGTTGGGGTTGCGGATGGCATATATGACCGGGTTGATAGCCCCATTGGCCCAAGTCAGCCAAACAGCTGCTACATTGAGCAGCGAGGGAGCCTGCGTGGCCTGACCCTGCCGGGTCGCAGCCAGCAGCACCAGGAAGCAGTAGGGGCCCCAGCAGCAGATGACGAAAACAATCATGATGAGCACGGTGGTGGCCGTGCGCACCTCGCTGAAGAAGCGCAGCACGCGTGCATAGGTGGTCATCGGCCGCACGCGAACATCCGACAGACGCACGGTCTTGCAGATGTGGTAGCGGCAGAAACACATCAGCAGGAAGGGCAGCAGGTAGCAAGCCACCACCAACCCCACGCTGTAGGCGGCGCCCAGCTGCGCAGGGTCTGGGGAGGTTCTGTAAAGGCAGCGGTGGAAGCTCTGCGGAGAGGGGGGCTCCCGGGGTGCCCCGAGCAGTTCCCAGGGCAGGGAGAAGCCGAGCGCAGCCAGCCACGCGCCGGCCAGCAGCTGCAGCGCGCGCCGCCGGCCCAGCTTGTCCCTCGGTGGCCGCACGATGGCGCAGTAGCGGTCCAGCGAGATGAGCGCCACGCTGAACGTGGACACGATGCCGAAACACGAACTGAAGAAGCGGCTGGCCGCGCAGAAGCTGCGCCAGGGCCCCGAGTCCCCCGGCGGCGCGAATAGGTCGAGGAAGGCGGCGGGTAGGCAGAGCAGCGCGGTGAGCAGGTCCGACAGGGACAGCGACAGGATGAAGGCGTTGGTGACCGTGCGCAGCTGCCGATGCTTCACGATCACCCCCATCACTGCACAGTTGCCCAGGCTAGACAGCAAAAAGATGAGCAGGAGCACGAGCGCCTGGGCGGCCACCGCTGCTCCGTGCCATAGCAGCGGTGCTGGTCCCCGAGACTCCGGAGCCTCCGACCTGCCCGCATCGCTCTGGTTTCCCAGCGTTACCGTGGCTACAGAGCTGAACGACAGCGCAGCCGCGGTGGCCGTGGAAGCGGCCCCTCCTGGATGCGCGCTACCTGGCAAGCCTGCACTCGCCGCCGGGCGACCCGGTGGCCGCGCCTGTTCCTCCATGGGGTCCCGCGCAGGCCTCTCTGTTCATCCCGCAGCAGGGTGAAAGGTTGTGCGGACCAGAACAGCAGCCACGGGGAGAGGGTGGGACTCGGCCACCACCCGGGACTGGTGGAACCTTGACGTGGGTTCCAGGCGTTGCCGAGGGAACCGCCTATTTACGCAGGAGCGCAGGGCGGGACGCTAGCCGGGTACCCCAGAAAAGCCTGCCTCCTTTTCCAGCCTGAGGTGACTAAGCCATGGGTCTGTTCGTCTGAGGGATGGCGTGGTCTACCTCCGGCACCCTGGCAGACCAGAGAAAGCTAGACCACCCGCAAACAAATGGCAGATTCAGTTGAGGTGCTCTTGCTCTTTTCTGTCCAGCATAGATGCCCCAGGGGAGGCTTTTATTTGGGGGCGGGGGGAGAGGGGAGGATGCTGCTGTGAGCATTTCTGGTGTACACAGGTAGGAAAGGAAAACAGCTCACACTTGGAGATCTTGAACGAGGTGGGGTGGGAGGTTCCAGTATTTCTGTATTTTGAGTGGGCAACAGAACCAGTCATGTTACTAGCAACTAGGTTCCAATCTCAGTTTCGGATAATGTAGCTCTGGGGTGAGGACCAAGAATTCATATTGGTGGTGATGATGGTGACCCAACGGCCACACTTGGAACACCACTGGTGCAACCAATTTGTTTCAGTAGACACCTTGCTGATACTCAGCACTGCTGAGGCTGGGCTCCCCTCTTAAGCCTGATCCTGAACAGGTGTTCTCTAGGACTGGCATGTGGATGGAGGAGGGACGACGTCAACTACTGTTCGAGGGGCTGGACCTCTGGGTGGTAACTGGAATGCATGGGGGAGAGATAGAAAGGGACATAGGTCCTGCCCCTATTTCCATCTGGTCTCTGGGATGTGGCATGTGTGCCATACAAGGCACTACCAGTCATCAGCACTTTGGCGAACACTGACTGGGGAGAGAGTGGACCAGGAAAGGCCAGGCTGCCCAGCAACATTGTATCTCTGGATTGTGGCTATGGCCTTGAGTAGGAAAGGCTTGATTAAACAGTCTGATTACCTGTGTTCTTTAAAGCAACTGTTTGCAGCGAAGTGTGGGGCCAGGGCCAGCAGCATCTGCACTGCTGGAAAACTTCAGAGATGCAAAAATCTGCTGATCTGATACTTGGGAGGAGGTCCAGACTCCTGAGCTTCAACAAGCTCTCCAGGATATTCTAACGCCCCCACAAGCTCAAGAAAGCCTTGAAGAATGTCTAGGACACTTGTGGGTCTTGGAATCCATATCAGTGCTACAGGGTTTATTTCAGTGTATGCTACAAAAAAACTTAGAGTTTAAATACAAGTGCATTTAAGGATTTCTCAGAATCAGTCTTACACAGTCTGGGCTAGATCGTCATGTTTGCATTCTTTGTTGGTGGGGGCTGTTCCGTGCAGATGATGCTTGGCTGCATTTTGTATCCACCCGTTGGTAGACTCCAGGAGCAGCTGCAACAATTAAAAATGCTTCCAGAAAGCCCCACATACCCTTCAGGCAAAGTCAACCCCAGATGACAATCATTTCAATGCAAAAATAGACAACCTATAGGTTGTTTAGTAAATACGATCTTCAGCCTAGTTTTAGGAAACAGTAAATAAAAGCCCTTGTCCCACAAGACTTACAGTCTTAGGCAAACACAAATACATTACAAGCAGATGAGTGTTTTATCTTAATATAAAACTCAATGGAGTAGAATGGAGTTGCTAGGGTAGTTAATAGACTTTTTATGCCAAACCACATTGGACTATTCAGAGTAGGGAGCAGAGGAGGAGAAGGAAGATGAGATACAGTGAATCCAGGCGACAAGACGTTAATGCTGAAGTTGACAGTGTCTGAATTCTAGGCCACAAGCAGGTGGTGTGAGAGGTGGTAAAGGGGAAAGGGAAATGTGTATGGTTTTCACCAGACAGCATTTGTGTGCTATACTATGGAGACTGAATGTTATGGAGGTATGGTAGTTTGAATATGCTTGGCCCAGGGAGTGGCACTATTTAGAGGTGTGGTCTTGTTGGAGGAACTGTGTCACTGTGGGTGTGGGCTTTAGGACCCTTGTCCTGGCTGCCTAGAGTCTGTCTTCTCCTAGTAACCTTCAGATGAAGATGAAAGCAAGGCAGGCGGGTGATAGAGTCAGCAAGACCCAATGGTGAATTTCTGGTGTCATTTCAGTTTGACACTTGCTTATGGAAGCCAGCCCCATCCTTACCTAAAAGACAGACTTCCTGAGTATTTTAGGGTAAAGAGAAGTTGCTTGGTAAGGACCCACTCGCCTGTGAAACCTGAGCTCCATCAGGTCATTAACATAGATTTGGCAAAAAATGTTTTGCTACCAAAGGGGAGTCTCCCTCCAGATACCGGAGAGTATTAGAAACAGCCCAACCCAAGCCCAATCAAACCAACGCTGCATTTTAAGACCTTAGGTGAGCAGCTGCATAGACGTATGAACATTGCTCTAAGAAGGACTAGTACACAATGTGTGGCTTTTTGAGGGTTGAAGAGTAGCCCAATTCTTGGAGAATCTAGATTTGAAACAAGAAGGGGGTATGGACTCACACAATTGGAGTATCCCAGTATCAACCCAATGGTCTAGGGAGCCTCACTGAGTCAGTGTGGAGGTGACCCTTGTACCAAAGAGTTAGGAATCCTGCTCTCACAAGTACCACACCTGAATGCAAGAAAGCAGCACAATCTACTATGGGTGCGATGGACCCTATGGTAAACCATTCTATCTGACAGGCCAAGCAGTTTCCAGAGAATAACGACACAGAAACCAGATAGTGGTTAGAGGCAGGAGGATCGTGTATCTAGAAGCTTGAATCCCAAGGGGCGGCACTGGGGTGGAAGCACACTAGCAGACAGACAAGACTGCTTGTTTTATCATCTTTAGACGACTACATTTAAACACTCAGGGGCGGTGCCACTGAGGAGAAGGAGGTTGTGGATGCTCCAGTCTGTTGACAACGGTAAGCCTTGAGATGGACTGGGTTGCAGGGAGCAGTGTTTACAAGCAGAATCAACATCGCTCCCATTTGAATGTCAGTGGAGGTGGGGTTGGTCTCCATAGTCTTTTTGACTTCAAGGGAGGCAGAGCAAAGGATAGGATAGATTAGAATGTCGGATGTTACGCATTGTTGGTTTGTTGGAGTCACACAGCCTCTGGACTGACTATTCGAGCCATTCAACCTGCTTGTCCAGCATCTCCTTACTGTATATCTAAATGGGATGAAGCTATGCGTCTCACAGGTGAGGCAGAGGGCTCTACCCTGAGACCGTTAGTGGAGACTGTACTATCTGTACACAATTCTAAAGAAGGAAGAGACCCCAAAGCCATCTGTTCTTTATTATCCCCCAAAACCGAGGATTCCTTACTGCCACGGATAAAGTTCTACACCCTTGGTAGCCACAGGATACCAACAGCAATGTGTTGTTTTCAGTAAAGGGTGTGTGTGTGTGTGTTTGGCCTTATTAATAAGACACAAGATTAAGAGAACATAGTGATTCTACTTTTATTTCTTTAAATACAGCACTTCACCTAATCTATGGAAATTTAGTCACGCTGAGTTAATAAGAATGCCCCTTTTTCCTTTGAGTTAAGCCATGGGTTTTGACCCAAAACCACAAGTACTTGGGGGTAATGGGGAAATAAAAAAATTACTTTATATTTTTCTTTAGGTTAGGTAATGAAGGTTTAGACACTCCCCCACCCCCAATGGGTCAATAAAGGCTTGCTGGGTGAGACTACCACTTAGCATAGATTAATTCAGTATTTAGTGTGGTCAGAACTGAAGTATATTACACACCTCATAGGAGATATACCAAAATTTCTGAAGGTACCACAGATAATGTTTCAGTTTAGGATGGCAGATGATAATCCATTTAATTTTTAAAAGACAAGGCCTCAATATGTTGGCTGACCTCAAACTTTATAATATCCTTGGCTCTGCCTCCTCAGTGCTGGGATTATAGGCATGTGTCCCCACACCTGGCTATCAAGCACTGTTTTTTTTTTTTCTTTTTTAATCGGCTCAAAGGTAAATATTAACTGGCAAGAATGCCAATAACGAGATGTCTTCATATTAAAAGTCTAGCAAGCAGGTGATTGTGGAGAGTCAGGCTGATCCAGGGCTTTCTCAGGGGCCCCCATGAAAGGACAATAGGAACCTAGTCTGTGCTCTTGCCCAGGGACAAATGTGGCAAAGTCCAGTCTGGAACTGGGGTCAGGACCCGGAGGGAGCTAAAAGTTTCCAATCCTGGAAACTTGGCTTTCCCCACTGAAGACTAGAGTTATCCATCCTAGGGACTCTGTGTGCTCGGATTGTGATGTCCTGGGGTATCTTGTGCTTCTTTTGTGTAGCACTGCTTGGGTAGCTTCCTGCTGACTTTGTCCCATGGGATGACAGCTTTCTGCTATCTCTATCCCATTTCCCCTACAAATACTATACAAAATGGTGTACTAGTTAGTAAACTTGCTTGGCATAAGATATGGCATGTGCAACACCTCCTGAGCTCACTTGTTCTATCTTTGTTATCTATGATCTTCTAGACTTTTCTCCTCAGGGCCCTGTCAGTGAAGAACAATTCACCAGTCAAGGTCAGCTGATGGAGCATGAGATTCATTTCACTGCAAAGATTAATTTTTACTTCACGCTTGTATTTCAATAACGTAACATGAGGTTGTGTAACCAAAGGAAAAACAATCAACTGAAAACACAAGCAGAATACCACCCCCCCCAGCCAAATAGCATCATCTAAAGAGATAGCAAAAGTCTGGTTACCAGTTGGTCTTTGCAGCACTACTTGGTGACTTTGTGACACTTGGGTACCAGTTGGCATAGAACGGGGGCTCTATAGTAAAAACAACACCCCAGCAGCAGCTGTAACAATGTCTGTCAAAGAAGCTGACTCCTTTTGATCCTCCCAAGATTTATCTATGCCAGGTGTTGAGAACATTATAATAACCCACCTCCATGATACTTATGGACGGCTTTATTTTATTCAAACTGGAACATTAAAATAACAAACATAACATTTACTACTGTGTGGTCTATAGCTGCAGTGAGCATTCAAAGAAACTTACAAGTATTGTCATTTCCATAGCATAGATTAAGTAACTGTGTTTTAATTTTGCATGGTATACTAATGATTAAAAAGTTTCTGAATTCTTAGCACTCTGTTTTCCCCATTAGTGACAATTATGCTCAAAAGGTTGCTAAATAGGGAGTATAATACCTTACTTTTAGACACAGTATACTGTTTTAGAAAGTATACAAATTAGCCTATAAGTGTAACTGGATATTGGTTTGCACATAACACAGAGAAAACATCATTTAGAGGTGATTACTTTCTAATGAAAACCTTTAAGACTTATGAAAAAAAGTCACTTGAGAAGAAAGCCATCCCTTAGTGGGTCACCGTCTTCCACTGTCAGGTTTGCTGTCCCTGTGTAATGGGCTTGTCCTGCAACTTCCACTATGACAGCTTTGAAATCTCCACACTTTGCTTCCTGAAAAAGAAGACAAAAGGAGCAGACTAAGAAGCTCCCCCAGTGTCCAGTATCTCTAAGGCTTGTCTCTTCCATCTCATAACTAGAGGAATCTACATGTCAATCCTCGGGCACAGGAAGGTTTTGAAGTGAGTGACAAAGTCAGATGTGTGTTTTAGTTAACTTACCTGGAAAACGGGACACATGGGAGAAGAGAGTCTAGAAGCTCAGAAACCTGCTAAAAGGGAACTTTAGGCTACACAGCAACATCCTATCTCAAAAGAGAAAACAAAAATTCTGATTCCTAACTGATACCTGGTGTCATAAGGCAGCATTTAGTGGGGTGGAGAGAGAGAATACAAGGTAACTTTGAGGTGGAATGGATAGCTCGACAATGCAGACAGATGGGAAATGGTGAATATGAACAATTTGACCATAGTTTCCAGCTTGAAAGCGCCTTATTTATGCCCCTAACACAGGTGAAAAAAAAAGAGTATGCTGTTTTGAATAAGAATGGCTCTGTGGCCTCATGTTTTGGAGTGTTTGGTCACTGATTGGTGGAACTGTTTGGGGAAGGATTAGGAGGTGTGGCCTTGTTGGAGATGTGTCACTGGGGAAGGCTTTTGAGGTAGCCTATTTCATTCTGTTTTCTCTCTGCCTCCTGGTTTTGGACCAAGATGTAAGTCCCCAGCTACTGCTCCAGAGCCAAGCCTGCCTGCCTGCTGCCATGCTCCCAAACATGACAGTCATGGACTCTGGCCCTCTGGACCTGCTAGTTCCAAATTAAATGCTTTCTTTTATACATTGCCTTGGTCATGGTGTCTTATCATAGCAATAGAAAAATAATTAAGAGAAAAACACATGAGAGAGAGAGAGAGAGAGAGAGAGAGAGAGAG